ACTTCAAAACTTCCAGGGGTTTCCACCCCTGGGGGTTACCACTTTTCTTAGCCTCTGGGGGAAAACAAGGTTCAAACCACTACAACCTGCATTGACAGACTGCCCTTGAGTAAATAGAGGATTTTTTAGTTTGTTTATTATTATGTTTTCTGTTAAGCGTTTAGACAAGTTCCTTTCACGATCATTGTTGCCACCCAGGACTACAAGGAGAACAAGAAAAAAAGTAAACTTTTTGCAAAGTGGGCCTAGAAACTTGAAGCATCCCTGTTTTCATGTAGCTACTTCTAATTTAAAAAGTTCGGGTACAGAGGAAATAAGTTAGTGATATTCTAGTTCATTCTTCAGCTGTACACTTGATACGTATTAACAAAGAAATCCCAGCTGATTCTAAATTGTTTGGCAGGTGTTATTATTCAGCAATACCTGCTGGAACAATAAGAGCTAAAAAAAATAATAAGGATATTGTGGAAAGGGAAAATGTAAGTTAAGAACTGAGGTGAAACTACATGTGGGATATTTTTGAAATAAAATTTAAAGAAATAGAAAAGAAGAGGGAATATACCTGAAGGTGGAATATCTGATTGTTCTCAAAATTTCTAATTAAATACCCTATTTCTAACTCACACCCTATCCTTGGATATAAGGAATGCACAAAATCCCCATTTCTAGTTTCCTTCCTACATCTTCTCTACTAAATGACCTTTTAATCTCCTTTTCTGTTTTTTTCTATTCTGTGTTAAAAGTTGATCTATATTGCACTCTCTGTCTTTCCATCTTCCTTTTTCTCTAATGAAGTTACTATCCTTCCCTCAAATTTCAGTTTCTTTTACTTTGCTTCATGTACCTTATCTTGCTGAACCTTCACCTTTTCCCACATCTGCTTCCTTCTTTGGTACTTTTGTTTTATATGGCTTTTCAATAGTTTTAATAAGACTCCAGCATGAGAAAATCATGTGGGCTACACAATTAATGGAGTTGCACAAGTAGTGGGGCTGCTATCTGACACAAATTAGTGGCTACTGGAAAAAACAAGCCAGTAAATTACACTGAGGCAGTTAAGGAGAGGGGAATATGCCCAGCCAGATTTCTCCTTCCATTGGCTCTTCTTGACATGATGTGGGTGCTTGAAGGTCACTTTTTACAGATTCACACAAAGCATCCTTACTTTACAATCTCATACATATTTTCCTCTTCTGTCCCTCTCCAGGTGTAGCCCTTCCTCACAAATTTTTCATTTTCTTTCATTCACAAACCATACAGATTCCCACAAGAATTTCTCAAACAATATTTCTCAAATCAAATCCTAAAGCCTTACCCTTTTCTAAGGAAAGTAGCTTCTGGTTTGCATGAAATGGTTAGAGCTGATAAGACCAAGGTCATGGTTTGATCCCCATATGGACCATTCACTTAAGAGTTGGACTTGATGCTCCTTGTGGGTCCCTTCCAACTCAGAATATTCCATGATTCTGGACTCACTTTCCTGCTGGCACCCATACTTGTAACATTATTCTCTGTTCTTCCCTCTTCTCATAAGTAACTTTCTGGTTTCCCTCTTACAAGGTTCCTTCCCTTGTTCCTTCCCATAACCCCATCCACTCTCCTCTCCAGCTAAGCTTTCAAACTCTTTGGGTTTCCCTCCTAGTCCACCTTATGGCACTAGATCATCATTCTTCTCTGAAAAAGTCAAATAGAACAGGATATACTTTTCCTGCGTCAATCAGCACTGTACTTTCAAAGTACTGAAATACAGAGATGGGCTTCCCTCGCTCATCCATTTCCTAAGAAAAAGCACGCCATCAGCCCTACAGGCAAAGCAGAAGCACCACTCTTTCACCGGTCCTTTCCGACACCTGAGGTCCAGTGAGTTCATCCCGGCCTTTTGACAGTCGCTGCCCTGTGTAGGCATCGACCCGGTCACCCTTCTTCCCGCCGGAGGGAAGGTGCTCAGGCAGGGACCCTTCTGAGCACAGAGCAACTGAGCTCTCCCTTACGCCTCCGCCCGGGGCACCCCTCCAGGGAGCCCCCTCGCCGCAGTGCCGTGCCCGGTCCCTCCCCGCTGCCTCCGCGGCTGCCGCGCTCTCGGGGGGGCGGCCGCAGCATCCCCCGCCCTGCCTCCCGCCCGCCCTCCCGCCGCGGGGCCGCGGCTCGCCCCGTGCCCGGGATGCGTCCGGCGGCGGAGTGCCGGCTGTTGGCAGGAGCCGAGGGCAGGTGGGCGGGCACGGGGGCTCCCGCCGCCGCCGCGGCTCGGAGCCGCCGCCGCGGCTGGGATTAGGCTCCCGCTCGGCTGCGATGCGGAGCGGCGGGGCGGGAGCGGCGGGGCCCAGCGGGAGGGCGTGGGGGGCCGCCGGGCACTAGGCGGGCGGCGGGCGCGGAGCCGCCGGAGCTCTCCAGGGTGCTGGGGCGCTGCCCGCCCGCCTTCCCGCGGGAGCCGCGCGGCCGCCCTCGCCCATCGAGCCGCGCCGCCGAGCCCCTCCGATGCCTCGGACAGCACCACTCCCGGGGTCCGCCGCGCCTGCGAGCAGCATGGCCCGGATTAGGTACCTCCGCGCGGCTGTCTCGGGCTTTTATCTGTGGGAAGCTGCGCTACTTCTCAGGTGAGTTGTTTTATTTGGGGAAGTAAAGGTGTCCAGCCTTCCCGATTTTCGGGCAGCTGAAATGCCTGGGACTGGCGCGGAAAGACTCCGCGGTCACCGCCTTTCCTCACCACGAACGCCCGGCTCCCTTCGGCAGCCAGGTTGTGGTCACGGAAACTAAATGCATGGGGTCCACGCTTCGCAAATGGTTTTGCAACATTGACCTGCCTCGACTTTTGGATTTTGCAAGCAGGAGGTTATGTATTTCCTCCACCTGCTCGTAGTTAGAGTTTGCCGATATGATCTGTGAATTTTATGGGTGTTTTTAACAGTAATTGTAACATCAATGGTATTGAAAATTCTCCATGTGCAAAGTGTCTATATGTAAAAGTTACAGAAGATAATCTGAGTTGAGAATATATAAAACTTCCTTATTACTCTCAGTTCTTTTCAGTAAAAGGAAAATCACAGATTGATCAGTGGTCAAGTCAGGTTGGGTAAGTCATATAGAAAAACACTAGCTGAGTGAAGAGAGGGTATGGTCTACAAAACTTCTGTTGAGAGGGAAAGCTTTTGCTGTGCTCCTAGCAGTCTAAGATTTGTATTATGAAAGATGGCAACATATCCATAAATTATGACCTCAGGAGAAGACTGAGGTTCATACAGCTTTTTCTACTTTCTGCCTAGCACACTCTTTCTAGGTAATGTTATTATATTAATTCAAGCATTCTTTAAATGCATAGCTCTGGAAGTCTAGTGATAGCAGACTAAAATAAATTTGAGTCTCAGTGAGGGAAAACTTATAAAGAAAAATCACACATGTAAAGAAACAGTCTTCAATGTAATCATGCATTCACTGCTAATGCAGTTACCCATTCTTGTTATCAACAAATATTCTAGCTCTGTATCACAATAAATAAACTATGGCATAAAACATGCCAGACTATTTTAAGAATCCTGCTGTTGCTTAATAAAGATTAAATAAACTTAAATTCTGAGAGTTTGGGGATACATGTAAGGGATTTATAACCACAAAGTTAACAGTGTAGTGCCCCACAATGATGGCACACTTCACAAGTGATCAGAGGCTTATAACAAATCTTTCCTTTTTGAGTTTAAGTTAATGTCCTGCTTTGTATCAACATACGCAACATAAATAGTTTATAATGTGATTTTATTGCAATTGTGCCAAAAGGAAGAGATTTTAAGAAACTAGGTCACAATGAACACGCTTACTGTGCACAAGGACTATGTAGACTGAGAAAGAGTTAAGAAAGCTGCTCTGAATCTATGTATATGTTTCATATCAATCTCTATATAGAGACTGCTGATGCCTTTAGGTCCAGCAATAATACAGCAGAAACCTGAGTCAGTTCAAGATACAGACTAGTCTTCCCCATGCTTTAATATGGAAAAAAATGGGGGGAAAAAGTAAAAATATTAAAAGCTGCAAAATTCTCAGGTTTCCTGGAGCCATTAATTCTAGTTCTTTTCCTGCTGGTAGAATGCTGTTTCCACTCTCTGTGAGTCATCCAGAGTCCAGCCTTAGCACCTGTATAATACTTGATGAGAAGATGGATGTGCTGTGAATTTCTAGAAACAGTCAAAACTTAAGTTCTTACTTGCTCAGGCATTTTGGAATAAATAATGTTATCTTCTCTTAAATCATGCAACGTTGAAACTTTTCTGATCTTCATTAAGAAGCAGAAGGCTGTGTGAGAAGACTGGATGAACCTAAGGGGAAAAGCTTTCAATACTTGTCCAACAGCCCTGAGGCTATTTAAAATTACTGTTTAAATTATATGCCTATGAAGATAGATGTTTAGTTTTATTTTTAGTGCAGTTCAAATAAAATTTAAAAAGAATTTTTTTTTGTATAAAGTTACAGGCTTGCTACTTTAATGAGCAAAGTCTTAAGATTGGCATGCTTCAAAAGAGGAAACTGCACATTATTTATTTTTTTAAAAAATAAATAATTTTTTATCCCACATCAAAAGACTCCTCAAATTGCAATGAATGAAACAAGATGTATATTGCTCATTGTAGGATCTAATTATTAATTTGATTTCTGAAAGATATCGTAGAAAGAATAAAACAGTAGAAGAACAACAAAGTTGGTGAAAGGTCTAGAGAGTAAGTCATATGAGGAGGGCCGATGGAGCTGGGGTTGTGTAGCCTGAAGAAAAGGAAGCTCAGGGAAGACTTTATTGCCCTCCACAGCTACCTGAAAGGAGGCTGTAGCAAGGTGGGGGTCAGCCTCTTCTCCCAGGCTACTAGTGACAGGACAAGAGGAAACGGCCTCAAGCTGTACCAGGGAAGGGTCAAATTGGACATCGGGAAGGATTTCTTAACCGAAAGTGTTACCAAGCATTGGAATAGGCTGCCCAGGGAGGTGGTGGAGTCACCATCCCTGTAAGTGTTCAAGAAACAATTAAAAATGGCACTTAGTGCTATGGTCCAGTTGACATGGTGGTGTTCAGTCAAAGGTTAGACTCAGTGACCTCAGTGAGGTCTTTTCCAACTTGAATGATTCAGTGATTATTAATAGTCTTTTATAATATCGTACGTTTGTACTACTATGTCATAGGTGAATAACACAGTTATTGATAATATATTAATAGATTTTAAACGTGGAAAACAGTGGTGAAAGCACACAGCAGTCTGGTTTATGCAATGTCTTTTAGGACAGGGAGAAAAGCTATGATCAGATCCAAAATTTAAAAAAATGTTGCTTATTAAGGACTGCCAGTCCAAACTCCAGTGTGATACTAAGAGAGTGGAGATGTAAAAAAGAGGGTAAAACCTAGGGAAAATAATTTAATGTAACCTAAAAATAGCTTTAATTCACTACCAAAGAAGAAAAACCACTTCTGAGATATAGTTTGAATTTATGATAATATCTAAGACTGAGTATTCTTCTGAGTAAAGTAATAGTGTTAACAAAAAACCCTCTGGATTTATCTGGATTCCAAGAGATCATAATGAAAGCAAGATCTTATTTGTAGAGTCGACACAAATATCATATTTGTGAGTCAAACAGTTTTATAACAGGTCACGAACTTGCATGGGCAGCAGCACTGGGTCTCTTAGATCTACTCTGTCAGGGACTTGCCAGGGACTTGTTTTCTCTTTAAAGGATGTAGTACATCTATTTTATATGTAGACCTGTGTATAGGGAAAGCACAGGGTGAAAAGGTAGGTGGCACTGTGGAAATGCAAAATAGATTCTCCCTATGTCATCTTTCTTTAGTTATCTATATTAATATAGATCAAGAATCACACTACAATTAGGTTATTTCCTTTTGCTTTGCTCTTTTTAATACTCCACTGGCCTTACGTTGGAGAAACAGTATCACAGACATAGCTAATTGCTCTTTGAAACCAGATTCTTGTGGAAAAAAACCTCCACGCAACCTAACTCTGGGGCATATCTGAATTTACAGTTAACTGATTTTGAAATTGTTCCTGCATTTCATTGTAAATTGATTTCAGGTGAATAGCTTTAAGAAGCAGAAGTCCTTATCCTTTAAGTCAGCATTAGTGCCTTCAAATAACAAAAGAGAAAAAAAAATCAGCCAAAAGCTATTAAATCCAACATAGCATCACAAATATCTTTGAAAATAAAGATTTTCAGGTGTTGTAATGAGACTTCAGTTGATTATTAATATGCTAAAAATTATACCTACAGTACTACTCAAGAAATAAAAGTGTCTGTTAAAATCAGGACAGGAATAAAAGTGTGTGAAAGAAAATCTATTCATTCAAGATGAGAGCACTGAGGTACAGTATTTTCATTGTCAGTTCAGACTCAATTTTAAATATGGTTTCTGTGAAATAAATCAGTTGACAGACTCCAGGTCCTAATGAAAAAGATTTAACATGTCTCAGAGAGTAGCAAGGGAAGGGTAGGTGAGCTAGGACTTGAGACTTACAGTAAGTCAGGAAGGAGCAGGATCCTACCAAAAAAGTTTGCAGTTGCACAGCACCTGTGCAGGAGAAGAACAGTTCAAACAGCAGTCCAGATTGATCGGCAAAGTTGGTAGTTAAGAGGTAGGTCCAAGGTCAAAGCCAAAGAGTCAGGTCAGCAGACCAGGTTCAGGATCAAAATTATGAAGGTACAAGTCTGGGTGAAAGTATACTTGGACACTAGCTCATGCAGAGACCAAGAGCATCTCTCCAGCACTCTGGAGGGTAAAAAAAAAAAAAAAAGTGTAAACCAAACATGGAAAAAAGGAACAGGTCCTGAGAGAAGATAGGTGAACCCTGCTGAGGATTCTACAATTCAAACAATACACACAGCTCTGTTTCAAATCTACGCTGCTGCACTCCTAGAGTTCGCACTGAACCCGAGTAGTCAAACCCCTGTGACGGAGGACACTTATAAAACATTAGGAGGAGACCATCAGGGTTCCCTTGCATATACCCATATGGAGGCATTGTACTTTCCAAGACTGAGACAAAAATGAAGTGGGGGTCTTGTGACCAAGAATATGTAATTCTAATTCTCTTGTATTTCAACTGTTCCAGTGAAAAGACTGAAATCCGTTTGTATCAATTAGGAGTTTTGTCATGAGTACAAATTTGATCAGAACTTTCACTATCTGTTCCTTATTTCTATAAAAATTAAGCTAGTTTTCTAAGTGACTACCATGTTTATAATTTTGAGAAAGAATAATATGTATATTTTTTTGGTTTTTAATACTATAAACTGGAAGAAAATTAAATAACAAAGAAATTTCAGTTAAAACCATGAGTCTTTCAATTCTTAGAGTGCTAATGATGTTTTCTTACTTTTCAACCTCTCCTAATTCATTCCTAGCCAACTGCTGCTAACAACAACTGAAAGCAAGTAATACTGTGAGATAAGTGCTGTGCTTCTGTATGATGATAAATGTAATAGCTCCTCTATCAGATTAGTCTTGTTCAGGCATCCTAGGAATCATGACAATCAAAGAGAATGAAAATTTTTACAAGATTAGAGCTTCTCATTTTAACAGATTCAGAATACAAGCTTCAAATGA